AAATACAAAATAACAAACACAAAAACAACGCAATGACCATACTGAGAAAGCAATGCTCCTACTGCACAGAAGAGTACCGAGAAAATAGTATGTGCAACAGGATCGCGGGCCGGCGCCGCCTGTTGGGCACGCCTACCGCCGGGGGGCGTATCAGCCAACGGATCGGTTACTGACAGTCTGCCGCTGCGGGCGACACAGCACAACTTGTGCAACTTGTCTCACGGGGGCCTCGCTTAGCAGAGAGGAGGGAGAGAGGTGGGGGAACGACGGAGAGAGGGAGAGTGTTGTGCGGGGTTCTCTGTATACTTTGCACGCCGGGCCGCCGAGACGCACACCCAAACGCCTGTCCTGTTGATTCGTTTAATGTTTCAGAGGGATATGGGGAGGGAGAGAAGGAGGGGTAGGCGCACTCATAGAAGCGCGGGGACGCCTGGGAGGTAAAGCGGGAGAGAGGGCAGGAAGAGTAAGGGGGACTGAAAGGGGGAAGCATGGATAGGGGAGAGAGAGAGGGGGGAGGGAGTGGTGAGTTTGAATTTTGTATTAGACAAGATAGTTGTGCCCGTATACGAACGTTCAATAACTCTGCGACTGATCGCTTTCTTGCGTTAGGTACATTCTCTATGTGGAAATTGTGCAATCGAACCTCGGTGTGATAATTGCACAACCTGGAAAAACAAGGGTCTGCCATTCCTTTAGGAGTGCTATACTGACTTTGATAAATCGAAGGAGCGACCAGCAACCGCCTAGGAGCTAGGCCAATTCTTGTATGGAATGCAGAGGAATCGGGCGGGTGGCCTACCCTCACCTCAGGGGCTGAGAGAGCAAGAATTTGGAACGCAGCGACGTAGCGAAAACTGAGTTTTCAACTTAGAGAGAGCGGAGTAAATACTATGCGATCACCAGTCGGATTACTGTTGTTGATTCTTTTTTCCTTCCTGTTTCTTAATTTCGACCGTGATATTGAAACGCGAGCCTCCCCTCATTACGTTATTGCGACGCTTTTGTACGCGTAATGGTACTTGCGTTTGGGGCCTCGGGTGAGTGATATGTGATTCATCATCCCGGCTCATCGCGGCAGCTGCAGTGGCGGAGCGCCCCACTCATCATTGGGGCGGTACGGGGCGTCGCTCTTCTCACTGACCTGGAGAGAGAGAGAGAGAGAGAGAGAGGCAGGCGAGGTTTACCCGGACTGCTCTCGGCCCCGTCTATGCCTGCCAGGTCTCTTCTTTATGTATCGAGCACCTGCCCGCGGAGCGTGGCGGGGCGTGGCGGGGGTGTTGGCAGCGCAAGGTGTATACGAGTACTCGAGGTGTGTGAGATACCTTGTTGGTTACATCACGCGCGGGCGTCAAAAGGTGCGTCAGTTTGCACCTCTGACAGTTTGAGCCCTCTGTGTGCGAGACAGAGAGAGACATAGTGAGAGTGAGAGGAGAGAGAGAGAGAGAGAGAGAGAGAGAGAGAGAGAGAGAGAGAGAGAGGACTAGCCCCCCTCTCACCGCTCTCCCCCTGCCCGTCCTGCCCCGGCCAGAAACCCGAGCCCCTCCCCCTCCCTCTGAGAACGACGTAAGTGTGCGGGGTTTCATTAGCAGTTGCAATGCGAGAAGGGCGACGGAAGAGGGTGAGGCCGCCCCTCCCCCGCGCTGCAGGCCCCGCCTAGCGAGGAGGGCTTAGCTGCAGCCCGAAAACAGCAGTGCGCGCGCCGCCCGCCTCTCGCGGGGTGGGGCGCGCGAGTAACGGGAACGGGACGCACTCTTCGTTGCATTTATATAGTGCCCCTGTTCACGCCTTCCTGGAGCCACTCTTGTAGCATGCCGTGCGACCGAATTTCTGATGTGTGTGCGAGTTGCTTGGGTTACTGAGAGATCATCCTGCAGAAATCGCGTCTGCTTCTCTGAGCTTCATTCGGCAAATTACGGTAGAGCTCGGCGCCTGCGAGACTCGGGGTAGGCCACCCCGCAGTACACTCATGCACTGCAGGCACGCTGTTGCCTACGTACCAGGCGCTATGAGAGGCAGCATCGTCTGAACTTAGCTGGATCGTAACGGTGAATTTCGGACGCGTTTTCTTTGTGGATGACTCCTGACGCCGACCATGCCCGGTCTTCTTCACAAGCCCCTTTGCGCTTAGGCAACACGCGTGCACCTGTGCACTGCGGTAATAGTACAGTATCATCACTACAAAACATGTCTGTTGGTTATTGCGTCTGCACCCCATTCTAAACAGTAAGAGTCATGTCGGTACGTACCAACTTACCAACTTGAATATGCTTCACAATACTCCAATCTTAAAATACTCCAATCGTAAAAATGGTGTCTCACAATCAGTTTAAAACATTTTCCGTGCGATAATTCTCATCCTAAAGCATACTACTCTTTGCTGTGTGTTACCTGGTGGCTTTAACGCTTTTTGCTATATGTAACCTATCTGTTTTCACTGTAAAAAACATCGTCGTAAATTTACAAATTTTTTGTAAACTTAAATTATAATTTAAGTTGTAAATTTACGAGAGCACATTTTTTACTCGCCAATTAATATTAATTCGATACGTACTGCATGTATTTTTTCGATTACAAATTGTAATTTTACAACTTGCGTCAAGCAAAATTTTCCTGTTAACCTACCTACTATTTTTCACAGTGTTTTGCCGTGGGACCTTTTATTATCAAATGCCATGGACCTTGTGCGGTATACTTGAATTGTCGCGCGCCTTAAGTTTTGAGGTGACGTGTTTTGTGTTCTTCTAAATGTGGCTCTCATTATGGTGCGTTGCGGGGCTGCTGCGCAAGATGAACACGTAACACCAGAAGCGGCGGCCCGATGAGATGCACGCGCACCGCCCAGCGCGCAGCTTCCGGGTGAGGAGCCGCGCTGTAGCGGAATCACTTCCACCGCCCGAGAAATGCAGTAATGGCGCATGAAAGTGCGCAATTTATGTCGGAACTCCACTCGGATCATAGTTTCTTTGGTTCTTAGAAATCCATGAAAAAAATAATTTTATCACATCAGAATCAATTTTCGTTGGAAATAGCTTTGATTGGAACGGACTGGGCCTGCACTGTTAAATTCTTACACATAATAAATTTGTGAGCTGCGCAGAACTTGGTGGTTTAGGGTTTGGTAATTCAATTAATTTTCTTTGTAATACGAAGCAATTGTATTCCAGCGTACGCGAAGCACTTGCAAATGCAAATTTGTATTACAGTGGAAATGTTTTGCGGAGCTTTCAAACAGCAAAGCATGCTTTGTATGCCTTTGCTTTGTATTTACAGAGCTTTGCTTTGCAAAGTTTTAACTGTTTTAGCTCTGTATACATCAAAGCAATGTCACCAAAATATCCTTCAATATTATCAATCAATATTGTAAATGGATTAAGAAATAAATCAATTTTTTGACTAGGAGAGTGCAGGATGCAAGAGAAAGAACGAAGGGAAGGAACATTGGAGATGGGCAAAAGAGAAAGAGAACGTCTGGAGCAGGTGAACTGGGCAAAACGGATGGGAATAAGGTGGACGAAAAAAATAAAAAAAATTACTTCTACTCACACATTGAATGCGCCCCTCATCCTCTCCTCTCGTTTGGTCGTTGCCGCGTGATTGGCTGCCTTGACATGGGTTTGCGAACGAGGCTGTAAGTAATGGCCGCGGCTCGACCTATTACGAGCGCGGAACACACATGCTCTCTCTCTCTCTCTCTCTCTCTCTCTCTCTCTCTCTCTCTCTCTCTCTCTCTCTCTCTTACACACACTCACACAGTGTACAAAATGGCGCGCGGGGGGTAATGATAGCCTGGGCGCCGCGGCTGGTCTACATACGGCGCCAATTGGCGGTGCGGCGGCGGCGCGGCTCGGCTCTGAGCTCGGCTCGCCGGACGCGCGCACCTCGGGCCGTCACGCTACGCCGCGCCGAGCCGCCGAGCCGCCGTGCCAATCACTACCGCCGCCGTGTAGTAGGAGCCTCTCGAAATTGCTCCACTCAAGTGTGGCGCGGTGGGGCCGCCCGCCTCGCTCCTCTCACACTGTGTGTGTGTGTGTGTGTGTCGGCGCGTCCGTGTGCCGCTATGCTGTTCGAATTTTCTGTGTTCTTGATCTCTCGAGAGCCTTGGCTGAAAGGCCACAGACATCATAGCGGCGCAAACCTTTCTAACGCCGCCCTGTCAATTTCGTCATCGTCCAGCTCGAAAACTTCTTTTGCCTGGTGTATTGTATCTATTTTCTTTCTTTTTCAGGATAGGACCTTTTCAAAGTAAGTATTTTTGTGAAGTTCTTAGTCGAAATAGAAATGAAGATTTCTTGACTGATAGTTCATAGATTGCACACTTTATTATCATCCCCAATAACAACTTATCACAATTAAAAAAATCATACACATAACTTAAAATGTCCCGTTTACACAATTTGTCATTCACATTTACAATATAAGTAATATATTATTATGACTTAATTAAAACTATTGCTTTGTACAATCGCTCTATACGGTATACACAGCCGGGTATAGTTTGCCGCACAACAATGTGTTCAGATCACGCCCGCAAACTATTTCACCATGAACATCACTTTGTTCGACAAGAATGTGTTTGGTATGAGAGTTGTTCATCGTCTAAGCTTCTACAACATAAGTCATAATAAGGAAAGCCTGCGTTTAGCCTTGTGCGTTGAGAAACAGTGGCGTAGGCGGACAACCGCCTGTTTATTGTTCAATGCGATTTGATCTGCTAAATATTTCGATGTCATAGTTTTTTCATTTAATGCTTTAGCGCAAACCTGCATACATTTTCGCAGGCCGAATAATTAACGAATGGTAACCAACAATCTTATAACTTGCAAGATATATATACTGCAGATAACACAGTACTGCCGTTTTCATTTCGTGAAGTGTTTTTAATTATGTCTATCACGTACCAAGATTATATCGAAACACACCAAAACGGTGATACCTCTGTAGTAACGCAGTAGTCGGACCGTCGGCATACAACGGCCCAGGAAGGTGTGGGTACAATCACAGCTCTCTCTTAGTCCCTGTCATGTTTGGTGAGCTGAAGCGGCTGCCCGTCCGACGAGGTCCTTCGCGTCGTGAGCAGGTTGGCGACAGACAGCGGGTTGCTGTCGACGTCCACGTCCGAGTCCGAGTCGGACATGTCGGTGGAGGGCCTCCGCTGGCCGGGTCTCCCTCCCGCTGCAGCCGCCCGCTCCTCGGCCTCCATCTGCTGGCGCAGGCTGCGCATCTTGTTCTCGTAGTCGGACACGTCCTCGTCGTACTCGTGCACGTTGATCTCCTCCGAGTCGGACGAGTCGTAGGAGGGGCTGCGCTGCACGAGGCTGCGGAAGGCGCTATTTCTTCCGCCCATCAGCGTGCGCGGAGCGTAGCCCGGCGTGGTAGAGGGCGGGCGCGGGGGCGAGGAGCCAAGGGTGGAAGCGGCCGAGCCCAAGCCAGCCGGGGGGGCTGGGGGGCCCTGACTTGAGGGGGCTACCGCCCCCCCGGCTTGCTGGGCTTCCTTGGCGGCGCGCTTTAACAGGTTCATTCGCTGGTGTCGTCTCCACTTCGCTCGTCTGTTAGAAAACCAAACCTGGGAGTCAATGGAAAAGCGAAGTGTTGAAATGGTGACAGAGGAAACGTGACAAAGTTTCAATGTAAGCAGGCGGCAAGATCAGGGCAGGCTATGTTTCTTTCGTTGCCGAGTACGGCCAATGTCCGTTCTCCCGGACTATTTTTCCCGATCCCTTTTTGTGCAGACGCGCTCCGCTATGCGCCGCTATGCCGCCCGGGCGCCGCCGCTGGTTGGCGGGGCCCTGGCGCTGGTGGGGGCGTCGCGCCTGGAGTGGGCGTCTCCCCGTGGCGGGGCGGGGGCCGCAGGGGGGCCGCAGGGGGGCCGCAGGGGGGCCGAACGTGACTTACGCCGTTGCGTGCACCCGGGGCATAACCGCCATGGGTGTGGCCGCCTCCGCGCCGCGCCACGCCCGCGGTGGGCGGCGCAATCGGACGCGCTAAATTACCCGCCCGGGTTGTGCCCTAGTCGGACATGTACGCCCAGCAGTGCGCGGGGTGCGTCGCGCCGACGCCGAGTTATGTTGTCGCTGACGGTCGGGAGGAGGGACTCGACAACGGTGAAACAAAGCCTGCCCCACCCCGCGTGCGCAAGTAGGCACCATACATACCTGGACGCGAGCCTCCGACAAGCTGGTTTTGCCCGCCAGACGCTCTCTGGTCGACACGCAGGGGTAGTGGCTCTTGTCGAACTCGCGCTCGAGCTCCTGCAGCTGCTCGGCGCTGAACGTGGTGCGGTTGCGCCGGAACTTGGGCGCCTCCGACGAGTCCGAGCCCATGGCGTCGTCCGGGTCTGTGGGGAGGCATGGAGGCGTTTAGAATGGTGTACATGGGGTGAAGTGAAGAGAAAGTTGTGCTTTTAGCGGGAGGCGAAGGCTTACCCATGAGTCGCGGCATGCCGAGGATGTCGGCGTTATGAGGGAGGAAGTTGGGGTCCAAGGGGTGCGGGTGGCCCGGGTGGTGCGAGAGGCCCATGGACATCCCGGGTGGGGTCGCCCTCGACGGCGTCGACCCCGGCGAGGGCAGCGTCTGCGGGGCGCCGTGGCCTCCCGGGCCTGGCAGCGACCCCGGGCCACCCTGGGGACCGCCCCCCGCTCCCGACGAGGGCCAGAGGTGGGCGGCCGCCGCCGCCGCGGAGGCGGGCCAGTGGAAGGCGGCGTAGGCGGGGTGCGCGTGGACGCCTGCGGCCACGCCGGCGTGCACTTGCTGCAGGACGAGAAGAAGTGTTACATACGACATGCCTCTGAATGATTCCTGAGAACTTTGCACAGCTGAAATCAGTTTCAGATTTGCTAAAAGTTGGCTAGTTTTTTTTATCCAGTGTCGACTACTCCGGGGGCACTCACCTGCGCGTGGGCGTACAGCCCGTAGCCGGCTGCCCGGGCGAACTCGGCCGCCGCCCGCTCGGCGGCCCTGTTCCGGAGGATCCTGTTGATAGAGCTGACGGAAGGCGCCGTGCCGTTGGTGCAGACGCCTGCAACAACAAAACAAGAGTCGTGATTAGACACATTTCCATACATGTGGCGGAGTGTTATTGCGGGCGCTTTTAATTGGCGGTGCCCGGCGGGGCCGCCGGCCGCCATTGGCCGCCGTGGCTCCCGGCCGCTCGCCCGCGATTGGGTCCCGCGGCCCGCGCAACACGGCGCAACGCGGCGCAGGGGAAGTCGGAGATTATCTCTCCGTGTAATTAATTACTCTTGTTCAGGCGGCGGCGCGGTATCCATCCGCGCGCCCCACCCTGCCGCGCTACACCCCGCCGCGCCCCGCCCCGCCCGGCCCCACCCCACCAGCACGACAACGAGGAGCAGGTATTGAACGGGCGTGCAACAACCACTGTTGCGAAAAAAAAGTAATTAGAATTAAATTGTCAGGAAATGTTAAGTTGTGATTTATAGAACTAAACGATTACAAAGTTATCAAGATACCGTGCATTAACTTTGTCGAGCAGGAATGAGGTATGTATATCATACGTGTACAACATTGCATGTTGACAGTTTTGTTACGAAACACACACTGTAAATTTACAAAGGTATATGTCACAGAGTGACTACAGTACTGCTGCCACTACTTCGGAGTGGCGCGATGGATCTATGTTTTTCTGTACGCCAGCCAATAAGCTGGCCGCGGTGCCGCCCCCTGAGGGGGGATGGTGACCAGCGACCCGTGCGGCTGACCCGTGCTGGCGAAGCCCCTGCGGGCCCATTAGCGGCTGGTTAGCCGCGGGGCGGCCCCAGTGGCCCATTAGCGACCCATTGGCGACCCAGAGCCGCCCCCGGCACTCGGCCTGGTCCGGCCCGGCGCACATCGATCCCCCACACGACGCTGTCCATACGCCATGCAAGGATTCCCCCGAGCGCTAGGCTAGCCCGGCCCGCTAGGCCCGCTAGGCCCGGCTGGTCTCCTCCCCCGCGCTGCGCCCGCCGAGGCGCCCCGCCGCCCCTATGTAGGACAAGCTCGCGCACACGCGCGTCACCCCACCAATCGATTAGGGCCTGGGGTGGGGCGTTATGGCAGCGAGCACCGTTACTTTTAGACCCTGGGAGGAGTCACCTTCCGTGCCATGCAAGGCGAGGGGGCTAGCGGAGATTTCGTTTTGAGCCATTCAAACATATACATGTCGTACGGCATTGAAAGTAAAATTTCTGAATCAAATCGCTACTTCAGTCGATTCCTTTTCCCTGTTACACGCTGAGTCCCAGGAGGCTTCCCTTTTACATGCTATTGTTACCGTACATTTTGTCATCGTGGGACTCCAGTAAAACATGGCTAAACGGGTTAAGCTGTAGGCCTCAACGTGATACACGTCGGCCTCGTGAAACTGTCGAAACATGCACACTATGTACGGTTATTGAAATCGAATTTCTTGATCGAATTGCTACGAAAGTTGACTATTTTCCAATTAATCCGCAGCCCGCAGCAGTCAAACATGGGTGTATGGATAAACGTGTGGTGCTCAGAGTAACAGTTTATACCAAGTCAAAATGTCGGAATGTTGTGTATCTTGTAATAAGCCGCTCACCTATCACCCTATTTGTGCATGGCTTCGGAAGCGGGCTAGGCGTGCGGTCGGTATCGGCGTCCTTTATTCTTTTACCTTTGTTTTTTTTTTTTTTTCGCGCGGCGCTTTGCTAATGTACACCGGCCGTACACTGGGTCTTAAGAGGGACTAGGTCGGCTAGTGTGCTTGTTACCGTGCGGATGTGTTGACGTGGACGACACGGCGCGACACGGGCACCGCCGGGGGCCTGTCAGCCTGCCAGCAATAGGATTACACCCGGCTTGCTGCTCGCACGCTGCGCCCGCTGCGCCCGCACCCTCGCCCATTCAAACCCGCTCCCCCCCCCCCCCCCCGGTCCCTGCCCCCCGCGAGGAAATCAGATGCTGCAAATCAGAAAAGTTAACATCTTTCAGGAAAGTTTTGGGTGGTTTTTAGGATAATTCATCGTAACCGTTCGTGAAAGTTATTTCTTTCAACTAATTGTAAAAGTGTAAGCACTTTTCGCAGTTTAAAAACTTTCAGGACAATTTTGACGTTTATGACAATGGTGGCTGTGTTATTGACTTATTCATAACTTGAAATTGACAGATTTTGTTTTTCTTTAACATTGCACAATTTCACCTTAGCCAAACGATTTTACTATGTCATCTTAAATTCTTAAAGCCATGCGAATCCGTCGTAAAGTGGCACTGCCCGTCCCGTGCATTTGAATTTCCTCCGTAATGCGCATTGACATTGAGAAAAGAGCAGCCGACTTGGGAGGCAGGCTTCGAAGGACAAATGCAAGAAAGGGCAAAGCAAAGGGAGGGAGAAAAGTGAATATAAGCGAAAAAGATGAGAGGCGACGACGACAGAGAGGATGGTGGGGAAAGGACACGGAGAAGGAGTGAAAACGAGGAAAAGGCGTAGGACGGTAGCGGCTGGGGGTGACGCTCGAGCGGTACGCCGGCCACCCTGACGAAGCGCGGTGTCAAGTTACCCTCTCAGGTAGGAGGGGACCTGACGGGGACCCCCGGATAGGAACTCGGGGACCACAAAGGCCCCTGGCAGGCCCGGCGCTGCTCGCAGGGCCCAGCTCCTCCGTGCCGAGAGGCCCCCGCCATGGCGGCCAAAAATGAGCCGATTAACCCCTTCACATCTCCCCAAACGCGAAGCGCTGTGACGACGACGCGTAGCGCGGACACGTGTGAAGAGCAGGGATGATAGAGGTGGTTCATAAAACGATTAGACGAGCAAAGACGACGACGAACGACGATCTGGGTGAGGAAAACAGATGCGGTGGCCTTGTCCTCCTCGTCCGCTTGTCGCCTCCGGCCGTATCCGTATTGACGGAGGTAAAAAGGGCAATCTCGTGTCGTGCGCCTTTCTGCCCCGTGAATAGGTGGGACATCTAAACAAATTAAGGCGGGTTTTGTGGGACGATGTCGCCGCCAGGTGCCTTCCTGTTTAATCGCTGCCGTTTTCCTGCTGCTGCCGCTGTCAAAACTGGAAGGGCGCATGTCCGTCCCATGTGGTTCGGTGGCCCGGTGGCCCGGGGGCCCTGCGCCCGCCTGCACGTAATAGGCGCCCCGTAACGGTGACATGTCGGGGATGCAGGCCATTATTATGCAGGCGGCTCGGGTGACAAGTGTCGCGCTTGGTGCCCAGCGGCGTGTCAGCCGGCGTCATCCCCGTCCTTTGGCAAAGAGTTTGGGGGGAAACTCTATTTTTGTTTTTTGGTGGTAGTGGTTGAGGTTGTGTGGCCTTGCAGCCCTCTGGAGCCCGGAGAGGAGTTAAGAATAAGGAAGATGTCTCATCGTCCCGCCACGCCTCGGGTAGAGGAGGGAAGGGTCAGAAAATCGGGCGGTGAGGCAGGCCGGGGCAGGCCCTCCTGAGCTTGTTGTCAGCCACCGGAGCTCCACCGCACGGGAGCTCACCGCCAGGCCGCCACACACCGCACCACACCAAACCACACCGCATTCCCTGTCGCTGCCGCCTGAGTGCACAGAGGATATGCTGAGCCGAGGCGGGCTGAGGCGGGCTGAGGGCGGCTGAGACAGCGTGGAGCCGGGGTGGCACACACACAGACACACATGCACGACAGGTGGGACTGGAAGGGTGACCAGGGTCGCTTAAGGTGCCTTTCGTTGTCATCGGAGAAGCACAAAATTCGACCGCTTTAATATTTCCTCCGAATCAATTTTAGAGTGAAACGGAGGGCTGTCGTGCAGAAATATGCTTTGCTGGATTGTCCTCCCAACCGCAACGCCCATTATGTTTGTCAAATTTGCAGTCAGCTTTATGACAGCTAGGAAAAATAATAGGTTTACGATACGAAATGGTCGTCGATATTTGGCGGGAGGTTCGGGTCCGGGCGGCGGCGGTTGCCTGGCACATGCGCTCATTCTCACGCCACGCGTAATCCGAACGCAGCTCGGGCCGACACAGGAGCCGCCGGCCATGGGCCATGGGCCCCTGCTCTGCCCTGCTCGCCCTGCTCCGCTCAGACAGCATGGCGGCGGTGGTGCGGCCCCCCAGGCCCCCCGGCTCCCCCCGGCCCCGCCACTGACTCATCAGCCTCGGGGCCGCTGCACTGGAGAGCTGCTGCTGCGGCTGCATGACGCATCATGTGCCCTGCACAAAAAACAAATCTGTTTGTGGGCCGTCGCTTTAATTTGAACGAGCTGATTGACGCGGCGGCGGCGCGTTGAACGGCTCCTCACGCACGGGACGCTCATGGTGGCTGCCGCGACGTGGAGGGAAGGCTCGTACGGAATGCGAGTGGGACGCCGTTCGGCGTCGTCAAGACTGAGAGGAGTGGTGTGCGAATAAGTGCGAACTTCGTAGACGCAGTTCGCAGAATCAATACATTATTACCCTCCCCCCACTCTCCCCC